AATATATATATATATATATATATATATATATATGTATTGTTACTTCCTGAAAGAAGAAGTACGCAACAGACATGGCATACTCGCGCACTCGCGAGGCCTAAACATACTGGCAGGNAAAATAATTCTACAACTTCGTCATTAGGATGTACAATTTTCCTTCTCCTCAGGGATCATTTTCACCTTCCTAAAACATCTTCTAAAATTGTCGTGTTTCGCGCAACTCGTTTCTCTACATATATGATAACTGTTCGTTACATCTCGACTTAATGAAACATTCCCGATCATCCGAGGAATCAAACTTACCTTCGCCCGGAATGAGATCGAGTTTCGCGTGCGAGATCAACGTTTCGCCTCGTCCGGAGGAATTCGCAGGACACCCTTATCTCTCTCTTTCTTTCTTTCTCTCTCTCTCTCTCTCTCTCTTTCTCCTCGATTCTCCGATATTTATTTATTTATCCTTTTTCGCTCGAGTCGTGCGGCGGGCGATACCATCATCGCTATTGGCGAAGCACTCGCGAATCGAGCGATTCCTTTCGCCGAGTCCGCAACAATTTGCTAAATTACAGAATGCCCAAGGTTACGAGTACGCGACGAGAAGCCGGCGAAGGAGGATGAGGAGGAGGAGAAGGGGGAGGAGGCGAAAAGGAGAGGGAATGAGGATTACAGGAGGGGGATGGTGGGTGTAATGGTACAGACCGGAGGGACGGGCGATTCGCCACGATCGGGATATTTCATGGAATCTCGCGGACGCGTACATACCCACGTGTTTGTACTCTGATATTAACTAAATTGGCCAATAAAAGCGCGAGAAAAAATGCTCGTGCAAACAGTGTATAAAACGGAAGGAATCCACGGATTTCGAACGTAGAGAACGGTCGAGAGACGCACCGGCCGCGTCGATCGGCATTAATCAAGTCCGATCGGTGCGTATAAACGCGCGAACAAACGCAACGCACATCAATCCGTTCGAGAGTTCACGCAAATGTATACAATATAGCTCGAATTTCTTACATACCGTGAGACAGTGTTAAATCGCACCGTACACGTGAACATACCGATTCGTTTGATACTTGGTAAGAAAAGAAGACAGAGAGACCGATCCGTCGATTTTTAACGTTTCCTTTTTCGCCCCTTGTATTATCAAATGCTACTTATAGCGGTGCGCCGGTGCAAATTTCCTCGTCTTACGGTATTACAGATTGGCCACTCTCTTCCAGTAGCGCAAAGGCCCAGCGAACTGAGATCGACGCAAGAAGGTCTTCCACTACCCCGGTTGATTCGTTTAACCGCAGATGATCAAGGATGAGTCAATGGAAATGAAATCAGAGCGACAATGAAAGTATACCGATAACACACACGGCGACCTGCGAAACGTAGGATGGTGGGAGAATGTAGAAATGAAAACGAACAAAATTTTCTAAGGTTTACGAAATAAAATATATAGAATTATAAACATAAACGCATATATATATATATAACAATACACTTCGCAATATTTATTTTCCTATGTTTTCTTATCATTATCTTATGTAGAGATAAAACAACCTCACTGCTCATTAATCCTAGAATGCACAAGCGAAGCTCTCGGGGTCCTGTACTCATTGATTTTCATGCTATATATATTGTTCGTGTACTATTGTATATATAAGTAGAATTTTGATTGAGTTCCTTCTTCTCAACAAAATGATCTTCGGCGACGTGAAGCAACGTCCGAGAGTAAAAAACGTAGTCGCGATTCGCGGAGGCGTGATCCGAGATTTGAGATTATTCCTTTCTAATCTCGACTTTCTCGCGTTCCTGCATTCCCCCCAATCCCCCCCTCTCCCCCGGGGGAATCATGCATCCTAGGATTAACGATCGGGATCGAACAGGAACAAAAAATACTTTTATCATTATTCTCGATCCGAACAATGTCAAAGGAAAATATCGTGTACGATATTTCACAAACGCCACACAATTATATACAATATATTCGACACGCATGGCTATGGCACAACGGAAACCTGATAGCGAGCTCGATTGCACTAGATGCACTGGTGCGCTCTGGAGCGCATTAACGGCTGTCGTACGTAATTGTAGATTGACGTAGGGGCAGATATGCGCGTATATATGGTATAATATAAGTTATCACATCGACAGAAAATATGTTGAACACCTCATCGATCGAGAGACATTGGTATCGTGCTTATCGCACTTAAGTAACTCCGTCCGTCACACGCAGACACACACACAGCCTTTAGTTTGCGCACGTGCGCACTAGTGTATTCAACCGTGCTCGCTATAAGTGATAGGCGTGCACGGAAGTACATTTTTACGAGATGAGTCCATCTCTTTTACACACTCTTTCACACACACAAACACATACATACATACATACATACACAGACACACACACACTCTCTCTCTCTTTCTCTCTCTCTCTCTCTCCCGCGCTTTTTCTCTATCTTCACAAAGAATGCCCGAAAAATCAGAATCACATATTTAGAGGAAGCACGCAGATTGTGTCTTTGTTCGATTTTTTTTTTGTTTTTTTCGTATTCTCCGCTTTTTTCTTGGCACAACCAGTGACGGATTGGTTCCGTGTATATGCGTGCGTACGTATGTTTATATGTACAATAAATCCGTTACGACGACCAGTAAAAACGCTACGGTGCGCGACCATCGAAGGAGGAGTCTCTCGCGGAGAAGGAAAAGGAACGAAAATATAGAATAAATTCTTTATAATCGAGCGGTCTCCTCGCTTCGTCGCGATTTACTGGACACCTTATGTGCATGTGCGTATGCATCACGGTGAAAGTGATTTATTCGGCGATTCTGTAAAGAATCTCGGCTGTACGTGATAGAAGAATCGTGCGGCCGGTTATCGGACAAAAACGCCAATTAATTCGCTTTCTCTGCGACATACGCACATTTATCAATTTGAGATGCCATGCGGGGCGTGTCGGAACAATCGCTACGTTTATTTACAGCTAGAAACCCGTTCACTATCGCATAATGATATGCATCAGTGAAATAAAACATGAATGACGCATAATTATTATTATTATAATTATAGCTATAGAGCTAACGTAATAATAATAATAATAATAATAATAATAATAATAATAATAGTAATAGTAATAATAGTAATAATAATAATAATATAATAATAAAATAATAAAATAATAAACATACACTAAAGAGAAATTAGCGTAATGCATTTCGATCTTGAGAAAATCAAGTTTACGCTAAATATCGCCGCTTCCTCGTCGTCCGCGAAATTACCTCGTATGTTTCGCAGATAAAAATGCCCACTGTATAAAATTCTCGTTACGCACGATTTCCCCCCGGTCGTACCTTGCCTCTCGACACGAAAACGAACGAAATTGCGAATGATATATTCTCTTTTCTTTCTTTCCTTCACTCGCTCTTTCACCTCTCGTCCTTCTTCCACCGTGAAATTTGTTGTTTTGCGAGACAATGATATGGCTAAATATATATATGTATATATATATATATATATATACGTGTATATATATATATATATGTATATATATATATATACGTGTGTCTCTCGATCGCGATTGGGATTCGCGCACTTTCTCCTACCGACGCGTTCGTTTACGATTATTTATGATAGAACGGAGCGCACAATAACACCGCTTGTGATATGTCTCTAGAAAACGCACGTCAGCTTTTCACAACCCTTTCCACCTTCGAATCGTGCTCTCTCCTTCTCGTTTTCTCCCCCTGCTTATCCCATTCCTCGCATTTCTCATCTCATTCGCGTTCGTGTTTACATTAGACTCTATGTGTAACAATGTTCTATTACATGCTTATTAGACCAGCGGGCGACTCGAAAACGTACTTGGATAAAGTAAAGAGGAAAGAGAATCCTGCTTCGTACAACTGTTCTTTTTTTCTTTCTTAATTTTTTCCTCCTTATCCCGGCGGCTCACTGTTTCTCTCATGCGAGGGAGCATCGGCAGCACGCAAACATTGAAATATTTATCCGAGAAAAAAAACACGGAGCGGGTATTATCTCAGACGACGATTCTTGCTCTCCGGTGGAACTACACTTTGCGCGAGATTAGGTGATTACACGGAAAATGCAAGGCGAACTGCAACGCGAGTTGCAGCGCGTTCGGAATTACATCGTTTCCGCCCGCACGGACGCTCTTCGCTACTTTTATAATATTATTATTATTATTGCATTGGGGCTCTTTCATCTTTTCTTTTCTCCATTCATTCATCGTTAAATTCCTGAACTCTGAGGTAGTCTGTTCTGGGAGTCACATTAGTTAGTAGTAAAAATGGCAAGAATGCTATATATCATTTATCGGGGTTGCGCCGAAACCGAGCGCGTCCCGGCAACATTTTCACCGACATCGAGCTCGATATCAACACAATTCTCGGTAGATGTTGTGAGATAATATCGACCATATCCACTCGATGTACAACATATGTAATACATACATATATTATATATTCATATATGGTATGCTGATGAAGATTTATGTCGGTGAATTGTTGTGTACTAATGGTTTCTACGCAACCCCATTTACCGTCTTACCGCTCTCGCACGTCGATATTATTCATTTTAAATACAACAAACGAAACGGAACTCGAAAAAGACGTGGCTTGTGCATGGATGTGTGACGCGTGTTTGTATGTAAGTCGACGAGAGTAAAACTGAATTTCTGTGCATCACTGTGAATATATGGGTATAAACACTCCGCTGTATATGCTCACAGTGATTTCCGCGTATGTGGAACGTGTGCCTTATTCTCTCCTGCTACATTCGCCTCTCTCTCTCTCTCTCTCTCTTTCTCTCTCTTTCTCTCGCATTATACATGATATATAAAATATTTACAATTATATCATAGGATCTCTCGCCCACCTGATGAGATGGCTAAAAGAACAAACGCTCGTCGCGGTCGCGCAAGACGCGATACGGTTAAATAAACAAAGTTGGAGGACCGTGCGCGGGCACACGGGTGGGGGGGGGGGGGGGNAACGACGCGTGGGAATGCACGATGCGAGCTTAACTAATTAACGTGTCGGAGCGGGTGAGAGAAATAATTAGCGCAGCTGGGATCGGTCGCTCTCGATTGAACAATGATCGACGGGAACAATCACGCCGACCTGGCCCGTTATTATTTTGTTATGGCGAGGTTAACGTTTACCCGCGACAATGTTATACGTACTCGCTCTGTTTCGCGTGTTTGCGTGCGCACCGCCGAGCGACGTGCGGCTCGAAGAGAAATTTGCGCCGAGGGTCTCGGGGCGTAGGTAGCCCCGGTGATTGGCTCGTTTTGCCGGTAATTAATCGGGCATCGATTAATTGACGTGGGTAATGCCGCGAGACGATTGTGCCTCGCTGCGATCAACGTGAATTCCGGGATTAATATTAACTCCTCGAGTCTCCCTCGCGGTGCGCGGAATATTTATAAGAAGGTACGCAAGTCAATTGTTTTATCTTCCGCCACTGAAAAATTATTTTGATATTATTCGCGCTATGTGAGATTATATTTGCACTTAAAACGATAAAAAAAAAGGGGGGAAAGACTGATTAGCCAATACAAAGTGACAGAATTTATAGCAATTTTAAAGGTCAACGGAGTCGAAACGGCACTATCGGCGGTTTTAATGTTATTCAGCTCGTCAAGTTTAACGGTAAGAACGCGAAAGATGCGTGTTTCTCGTTAGGAAAGAAATTCACGGTGCGCGAAGTGACTCGAGTCGGTTTGACAAACGCGCCGACAACCGGGGCGAGGGTTTTCTCATGCCCGAAGGGAGAGAGTTTACAACGCGCGATGTGGTGAAATTTACTTCGAGCCGCGAACGAGCGTTCGGTTGTTTTTAAACAAACAAATCAAGCATCACCGTGAAAACATACACCGGTCGACGATCGAAGTGCATGTTAAAAGGAATGTGAAGTATATTGTTACATGAAAAGTTTGGCGCGTATATTTTCAAACAAAAGTCTCAATCAATTCTTCTTGTCTCTTTTCACATGATCACAGCACAACTTAGTGGAATGTATATGATCGTTTCTTTCTTAGCTACAGTTATTATTTATGACTCGCTATCACAATGTTCGTCAGTGTTCAATGAAAATCTGTTTCCTCTCCCGTTATCATGAGCTTTGTTCCGAATATTCGTTTCATTTCCGTTGATAATTCCGACCAATTCGATCTTGACGAAAGAAATGAGCTAAAGAGCGATAGAAACGCATAAGGTGTCTCTCGTGGGCGAGATGCTACCAGCGTCGGCTGTTCCGTCGTTTTGCTCAATGTAGCGTTCAGTCGCCTCGATGCAGCTCGAGATTCTTCGAGCTCTTATCCGAAAATAATTCGACCGGGGAATCGACATGGGAACGGGTTTTTCGTGATTCGAGTGATTTTTTAGGCGCGTTCAAAGAAAATTAAACGGGCCAATATGTAAGAGCACAAGGGGATCCTGGAATCGTCCCGTTTTATCGCAAATTTGTTCGTACTATATTCGTTACTAGTTGCACAGAATTAAACATTAAACATCCTTTTGCCCAATTACAATACACATGTTAACGCAGGCGAGAACGGTTGACTCGTAAAACGAAAAGAAACTTTTGTAATTTGTTAACCATTCTTCGTTTTTCGAATAAAGTCAACCGTCCTCGCTTATATTAACATTTGTATTGTAATCATGCAGAAGGATTTTTAATTCTGTGCAATTAGTAACGAATATAGAGTAGCAATAAATTTGCGGCGAAACAGAATGACTCCAAGATCCTCTTAGTGGCAACATTGAATGGAAATTTGGTGTCTAAGAAACTGTCCACTGAAATTTTGTGTCACTTCAACATGGGGAATGTGTCGAAAAGTACACAAATATGTGTTTAAAAGTGCACAAGTATGATGTTGAATTAGCACATTCACCTTGTCAAGACAAGGTTGACAAGATGAATGTGCTAATTTAACATTATGCGTGTGTATTTTTTCATACATTCCCCATGTTAAAGTAACGCATAATTTCAGCGGACCGTTCCCGACACAAAACTTTTTACCGTGAATATCGTCTGAGCTCATCGCAATATTCCGGATCAATTCCGCATAAATCCAGCGCGGTATTCTTCTACTTTTTTCCTTGCATTAATCGGTTAGGCTCGGCAGATCGCGATTTCAGTTCTCGCGCCGATACGTTTCTGATACACGATCTCAAGACTATTGTGTAAAGCGCACGCTCGAACGGTCGGACGGTCAAGACATCGAGATGCGACGCTAAATCTTTTATTTATCGACTATTTATGTTATAAATAATCATAAAATATCTACCGGCGTATTATAGAGATTCATTGCAGAATTATTCGTAATATTCTTACCTTAATAGTATATACAATTATAATTATCAAATTGCAATAATCTACTTGTAATTATCAAATTTATTGGTATCATCTAGAGATAAATCAGTTACACCACCTATCCCTTATCTTATAGCGTGATGCTCGAAATTAGTTGCGCCATACGAATTTCAAATGTTACGCCAGCTGTCCTTCTTCCTATCGCTCATACGCGTGGTCTTAGCGAGATACGAACGTGCGAATTCATGCCTGAAGGAAACAAAAGCGAAAATGAAGAATAAAGTAGGAACCGTCTTGGTTGATTGCAAACGACGAGGAGAAAACAGTAGGATACGTCGAGTCTAAAAGTCGTCGCGAAAAGTTGATTCCAAACACCATTACGGAGGAAAAATACGTTGTTGCATATATCATCGGAAGAAAAGGGCACACGATTAGGATGATTCGCGCGGAACAAAATGCAACACGAACAAAACGCTCACATAACGCCCTAACGGACAAAAGTTGACTCTGCTGAATTTTTAACGTTGCTTTCCGGCCTGTATGATCGAGAGTGTACAGTGCATTTATAAGAAGAAACTCAATATTTCAATGAAACGATAACTTTATTTATAAGAAAGGAGAGAATTAAACTTTTTTTTTCTTTTCTATCAATATTAAATTGAAATCCTTCTGACATATGAGTCAAATAGAATTTTTCGGTGAAACAAAGAAAAAAAAAGAGACAAGAACATTGATAAATAAAGAAAGCATATTACAGACATAGACGATTCCCCTTGACTATGTCCCATTTGACGCGCCCGACAGCGGAAAACCTCACCGAGGGAAATCCGACACCTCCGATGGCACGCCTCTCGCGGTTCGCGTCCCTATGGGCACTGGGTCACTCTCCTGCGAACGTTCTCCTTCTTGTGCTCGGTGTTGCCTCTTCGTTGGGTCTTCTTCGAGTGCGTCTGGACATGCTTGACCATGTGGTCTTTCCTGATGAATTTTTTCCCGCAGTTGGTACAGGAATACGGCTTATCGCCGGTGTGAAGGCATCTATGCCGCCTCAGATCGGTCTTGTGGTTGAACTGCTTCGGGCACGAGTCACACTTGTGCGGCTTTTCGCCGTCGTGCTTCTGCAGATGCTGCTGGAACGAATCGTCCGACGTGAACCGCTTGCCGCATTGGGGGCATTTAAACGGCTTTTCGCCCATGTGGAAGCTCTTCTTGTGTTGCGTCAAGTAGCAGGCTTTGTTGAACCTTTTGGTGCATTCGTCACATTGGACCGTCCTGTTATCAGTCTCGTCAATTTCAACTTTTACCGTCGTGCTGCTCACCAGTTGCTGCTCCTTGAGAACCGTAGAACCGGACTTAGGTTTGCGGCCTCTGGCGGGTCGCACGATGATCGGCGGCCCGATGCTCGAGTCTGCAGACTCCTGCTTGATCTGCATCATATGCGGCAGCTCGTTGTTGTTCTTCTCGGTGTAACGGTCCATCTGCTCGAAGTGATTTCGATAGGACTGCTCGTCCGACATGTCGAACGGTGTTCTTATTATCATATCGTCCGGGTCGGTCTGAACCGTTCCCATCGCCGGATCCATCCCTATCAATCCGTAACGCGACTGCGAATTCGTGTACAGATCATAGCTCGGTACGGAAGAACTGTAAGATTTCTCTTCTGTAGCCTCCTCCGAACTTAGCCCCCCCACGTTAACAGCCTGTGGCTGGGTTTGGTCTCCCCCGAAACCGGGCACGAGTTGCGTGAAACTCGGCAAGGTCTGGTGTTGATTGAGAGTGCCAAAACCGGGCAGCATATTATCCTGGGCCTGCTGCTGCTTCTGATGTTGCTCGTTCTGATTTTGGTCGTTACGGCCAATAGAAGTTTGGATGGTAGGTTTCAGCAGACCTGGAATGCTGGAAGTATTCGTAACGTGGGGGGGCAGGGCGTTTGGGTACGGCTGATGAGGCATCGAAGTACCCCCCATTGCCGTGGGTGATACCATTGCGGGGTGAACCGTGCCCGGCGCTATGGTGGACGACGAATTCATGTGGTGCGGGTGTGTGGACGAATCCATTGGCGAAGGGGAACTCATGTGCGATGCCAGCGGTGGGTGCATGGGAGATATGGACGAAGTCATGGTGTGATGGACCTGGTGCTGGCCCGGCGAAGTCATTGGCAGGTGATGAAGCGGCTGTTGCTGCTGCTGGAGGCCCATCTGGTGAGACGGGGAACCCATTGGTTGCTGATGATGCCCCGCCATTGACGATTGCGGGGAACTGTGAGGCACCATTCCGGAGGCCAAGTGTACCGCCGAAGGCCCTTGCTGCTGCGCCAGAGCCGCCGCCGCCGCCAACGAGTCGTTGCTGTTGCTGTTGCTGGAACTGCTGCTGTTGTAGTGTGGGATGGGCGTGTGGTGCAGGCCCCCCGTCGCCTCGCCCGAGGGACCTGCCATCACGTTTGGGGGACTCCCCGAAGATGCGAAGTCTGGTGATCTCTCGGGGGCGCCACCTCCGCCGCTCCCACCGCCGCCTCTGTTCGTTGAATGAGTGACGTTGTTGTCTCGGCTCGGGTGATGGTGACTGCTGATCGGCAGGTTCGCCGGATCCGGCTGGTTGCTCTGCTTCACCGCGTTTTTATGCAACGTCGTGTTGTAGTGTCTCTTCAAATGGCCCGAGCTGGTGAACCACTTGTTGCACGCGGTGCAATTGTAGGTCTTCGGCCGCCGAGGCTCGTTGCTCTTCCACGTTTGGTTCGACGGTGGTTTCAGCTGCTGCTGCAACGGCAGTCCCGGCGACATCACCTGATGACTCGGCATCGGCTGGGCGTTCGTGATTATCGACGCGGCCTGGTGCACCGGGGCCTCCACCACCGGCATGTGCTGGCTGCGCATGAATTGGCTCTGATCGGCGATCGGCTGCATACCGTCCATGGGTGCCATGGCCGGCAGCCCGGTGTGATAATCGTGGGCCTGGGCGACCGAGGTCCAACCCAACATTGAATGAGGCGGTCCTATTCTCTGCTGCATCACCTGCTGCTGATGATGAATGTGCATCTGCATCTCTTGCTGACGATGCTGTTGCTGATACCTCATTAGCTCTTCCTGGTACCGGTGCGTCTGCTGCACCTTGTGAGAATCCAGGTCGAGGATCTCGGCCTGCTCCTCCGGCTCCTGCTTCATCTCCAGTTTCACCGGCTGCCCGCCGTTGAAATCGTAGCTGGGTTGCTGCTGCGGCTGACTCGAGTGAGTCGGCGACGCGTGCAGTTGCGCCTGTTGCTGCTGATCCGGCTGCGGAGGACTACCGCCCAGCTGCTGATACTGAGGCGCTGCCGCGTACCCGCTCGGCGAGTCCGAATGATGCGTCTTCACGTGCTCGCCCAATTGACTCGCGTCCTCGTAAACGGCCCCGCAGTTCTCGCAATGAAACGGCGGACTGTGCGGGCTGGTGGAGTTCGTGCTCGCGTGCTCCGTGCTGAAGTGCTGAGGATACGGATGGTAACGCGCGTAACCGCCGCCGACATTGCCGTTGCCGCCGTTGTTCTGTACGTCCTCTTGCGACGGCGAGAAAGGCTGGCACGTGCCTATTTGAATGTTCTGTACATGCGACATATTTTGCAGTAAATTTGTCACACCCGTGTAAGGTATCGGCGCCAAATAATTGTTGTAGGCCTGAATGGAAGGCGGCTGCTGCGAATGATCCTGAGAAGACGACGGCTCCCTCGAGTCCGTCGGCACCGCCACGGTGTCCTGCTTCGCGCTCACGTGCTTATTATGATTGCCAGCCTTGCTATTGTTATTATTGCTCTCCTGCTGTCCCGAATTGGTCCACCTCTTTATCAGGTTATGATTATGGTATTGCAGGTGCACCTGCAGGCTCTTGTCGCTGTTGAACGAAATGTTGCACTCCTCGCAATAAGGCTCCGTATTCGAGCTACCGCCAACGTACTGCTGCTGCGGCGGCAGTGGTTGCTGCTGCTGCGAATGCTGCTGTTGTTGTTGCTGCTCTTGTTCAACAACACTTGCCACCTCACTCATATTGCGTCCTGCAAGTCCACATTCGACTGTTCCTCATGTCGAATCGCGCATTCAAGTCGACGCGCGGCTCACCGTCGACCCGGCAGTATCCGCCGTTCGTACACGACATGCAGCGCGACGCGAACGAAACACACGTGCGCCCACGCGGTCGCGAGCGCACGTATGTACCGCGGCGACTACGCTCCCTCCCTTTCCTCTCGCTTTCTTTGCTTTTTCGCCCTTGTTTCCCGACGCAACCTCCCTCAGACCGCCGCCGGTCCCGCGACACAACAACACAACGTATCCGACTGTACGCGCGCGAGCTGCGCGTCGAGTCGCGACGTCGTGATCGCACCTCTCTTTCTTTCTTTCTCTCTCTCTCTCTCCCTCCTTTCCCCTCTCCGTCGTCTTTCGCTCCGTCGATTGAAGTCGATGGCCGTCGGAGAACGGAGGATACGCTATTCTCACACTCGCATAGGATAGCACATGGATGACGCGTCGTCGACGGTGGCAGCGCGAAACGACGGGAGTCACGTGAGAGGTCTGACGAGCCTAGGCGGGAGAAACAATGCGTGTGCTCGCGACCTAGCCGACAGCCGGGTTGCTGCTGGTGGGGAGGGAGGAGGGGG